CACAGTGACTCTCTCTCTCTCTCTCTCTCTCTCTCTCTCTCTCTCTCTCTCTCTCTCTCTCTCTCTCTCGGAAATATCCAGCAAAACAAGCCCGACCCCTCTGGGTGCATTCTCACCAAGAAGAAGGGGCTACAGGTGATGCTGAGGGTTCTTTCTGGGACATAAAATATACCCTTCCCATGGGGCAGACTAGGTCACTGTGACATCACCCGATACCTCTGCTGCCGTCACAGTTCCAGAGGGAGAAGCAGACAGGACTCACCGATTTTCTGATTGAAAATCTTGTCGAAGGTTATTTCGTTTCTCTCTGCCAGATACCTCTGCATCACGCTCCGGATACTGCAAGATAAAAGTAGCTGTCAGGGCACAGGTGAACACAGCCACACACACACACACACACACACACACACACCCCGCCCGTGCTCCAGAGTTTACTGTGCCCCAGCTAGTGAGTGGCACTGTTCGGGGAAGCTGGGGAACATTCTGGAGATGGGATCTAGCTGGAAGAAGTGGGTTACTGGGAGCCTCACTTACTGACCAATCTCAAATTTTGTTTCTGTCGTTGTTTGGGATTTTTGTTTCATTTTGTGTGTCTTTGATTGATCCAAATGTGAGGGAGCAGTCTCAAGCTCTGGTAGCCACGCCCATAAATTTCTGCCACCATGCCTTCCTAGCTGTGACACCTTTTACCCTGGTCAGAGTTACTGATGCTGCGATAAACACCCTGGCCAAAAGCAAGTTGAGGAGGGTTTATTTGGCTTACACTTCCCTATCAAAGTTGTGGTAGTTTGAATAAGAATAACCCCCATAGATGCTTAGGGAGTGGCACTATTAGGGGGTGTGGCCTTGTTGGAGGAGGTATGTTGCTGAGAGTGGGTTTTGAGTGGGTTTCAGAAGCTCAAGCCAGGCCCAGTGTCTCTCTCTTCCTGATGCCTGCTGAGCCAGATGTAAAAATTCTCAGCTTCTTCTCCAGCACCACATCTGCCTGCATGTTGCTGTGCTTCCCACCATGACTATAATGGACTGAACCTCTGAACCTAGAAACCATTACCAATAAAATGTTCTACTTATTAAGAGTTGCCTTAGTCCTGAGGTGTCTCTTCACAGCTATAGAAACATTAACTAAGACAGTAGGCCATCATTGAAGGAAGTCAGGACAGGAACTCAAACAGAGCAGGAACCTGGAGGCAGGAGCTGACGCAGAGGCCATGGAGGGTGCCGCTTACTGGCTTGTTCCCCATGGCTTGCTCAGCCTACTTCCTTATAGAACCCAGGACCACCAGCCCAGGGATGGCTCCACCCACAATGGGCGGGGCCACCTTCCATCAATCACTAATTAAGGAAATGTCGGATCTTATGAAGGCATCTTCTCAGTGGATTTCCCTCCTAGTTTGTGTCAAGTTGACATAAAACTAACCAGCACAACCTTCAAACTATAAATCAACACAAAGCCTCCCCCTCCCTTGCTATGCACCCAGTCACATAGACCCAAAGGAGCAAGTGAAGTAGAGGACTACTGTTGAGACAGGGGCATGGTTGTGACTGCCTGGCCATGCCCTTCTTAGGCTGATGACCCAGTTACCAGAGGAATTTGGAGGAGTTGGGACCTAGAGGTCAGAGAGGCCCACCAATGCTTCCTGATCCATCTAGGTGTGAGCAAGAGGCTTCTTGTCCCTGCAACCACATCCAGAAGCCCCCCCACCGCCATTTTGTCTCCACCGTGATGGACCGCACCCTCAAGTCTTCAGCTGAACCTGCTTTTTCTGGTTCTCTCCGGCATTCCGTTACAGCAAGAGGGAGATCAGTCAATATGGTGGTGGTGGCAGGTTTTAAAGACTGTGTTAAAGATGTAACATGAGTAACTCTGATCTACAGAGAGACAAAGAGATGGCCACTACCACTCAAGGACATCAGCTGTTGGAGAGTCCTCCCAGGGCTACCCAGAACTGCAGGAGCTGTCCAGGGTCTGACAGGGGCCAAGGCAGACACTCCAGTCACCACCCACCCTCCTTCAAGATCTGGGTCCAACTCTAAATGTGGCGAATCCATTTCAGAGTGTCACATGAAACTGCCAAAACTTTCCCTCAGTATCACCTCTCTCTAAAGTGTGCATGAGCATGTGAACACACACATGCATACTGCACACACAGCCCTATCCATGTGTACATATACACACACACATAAACACCACTCACACACACACACCATACAACACACCACACACATACCCCACACACTCCCATGCAGACACACACACACATGCACACACCATACACACACCACACACCACACATACTACACACATACCACACATACACACACATACCACAGATACACACACACACACCACACACCATACAACACACCACACACATACCCCACACACTCCCATGCAGACACACACACACACATACACACATGCACATACCACGCACACCACACATATACCCCACACACTCCCATGCAGACACACACACAC